TCTGTTAGACAGGTTGTATATATTTAATACGAGTCACTCCAAAGACTTTTTGGTAGAAATATTTAATACCTTTATATTACAACACACTATTAGAAAAAAGTGTGTTGTTTAAAGACATTTCTTGGTTGCAGTTGCTTTTGCTACATATTTGTAAATGTAATTGGGCCAAATGCAGGAAATTCCTATGGAAATTTTGTAGCACGTCATACTCCTGCCTGAAGTTACATAAGTAGTCTTAATTTTGAAGTTATTTTTTCGGCCATGATTATTATTTTCAATTTTTAATATACCTCACCAACCTGTTTCTTTTTTCCCTTAGAATCTTGCTCTGAGGGCACAGCTATTGAACTTCTGACGTCTGGAACAAACTTGACGTACGCGTCCCCTCAAGGTCATGGTTTACAGCAACTATAAAATTAATAAGTTGGGAAGCATGCTATGCACCAACAAATGTTGTAAATTCTAGATCACGCCTGTAAAAATGGCTTGTACCTGCTCATGCAGAAATATGCTATTATTATTACCCTTAAAACTAAGGATCAAGCCATTATCATAGACATGAGTTGAGTGTGTACTTCCCTTGGTTATAACTTATGGTCTCCCTGATAGTCATCAATCACTGTTAATCATCTTGTTAAGACTTATTTAGCCGAAGACATCTTGAAGCATTACATCACCTATAATTGCGGCACATAGTTTTAGTCTGTTTCAACAACGTGTAGTCATTATATCTCAATGAAATCGTATTTCGCCTAATGACAAATTGCATACTTGCAACTAACTTGTGTGCAACATCAGCCGATAGGTATAAATACAAATAAATAGTTAATGGCAAATCAGAACATTGAGTTTAGAACATGTATCTTACGAATACACTCATATTTAATGAACTACTCTTAGCAATCTGTCCAAAATTCACATAATTATCACTTTTTACATATTAAAAACCTTTTTGATAGCCATTAATATGTGTTAGTAGTACTGCTAAAAATAAAGTCAAGAAAATCACCCCGTAACTAAATAAACTGTATCAAACTAACTGGGACACTTACTGGAATTCTTCTTTATGGTAATACTTTTGTTCTTTCAGTTAGCCTACTAATACACGTACAATTGAAAATCAACAGATATGGACAGGTTACCTGAATAAACGTTATTTGATTTCATAATTCAAACCAAAAATAGTAACAATATTACCATTTCTACAATAATGATCGTTTTTAGTGTTGCTAAACACGGAATGTTATTAACCTTCGGCTATTACTACGAATCTTACGGCGATTTATTGAAATATATATACACGAAATCATTCTTAATTTTTATAGTCCAATTTTGTTAAACTCCTATACAATATTTACATTTTTGTGCTTGTTAATAATAAAACAAAACAAAACCTGAGCCATTAACCAAATGTTGTTATTTGAATTTGACTTCTTAAAATATCTCTATACTAAATCGTTCTTCATTGTAATAATTTCTCGATACTTGATGTATAAATAATATTCATGTGGGTTATTATTTTAGGCGTGCTAAGCATTAAAACAAACATTTTAAAGTTATTTCATGTATTTCCAGACTAGATGCTGCCACCTTCATATTGATTTATCTTTCAGCTTATCAATACCCGAGGGATACTGATCATTCTTGGTAACATCCGGCGCGCGACTATCCCATTCAATGTTGTATCGAACCAACATCACGTTGATTCTAGTGGGAGACTAGTGTAGTGACACTTGGCCCTAATCATACAATCCTTAAAGCTGGACACGAGGCAACTGGAAAAATAGATATTCAATATTTAACGCAAAGAAAAATCTAACGATGGAGGTGGGAAGAGGGAGGTGAATGAGTTCGAATTGATCGGATGGCATGGCTCAGCATCGCAGGTGTGGTCTCTCTGTACAACTTATTTTTATTCATATTAAATAGATTGTTCTGTTGCCAGCCTTAATGTATTCTCATCCCATCTTGGTAATTGTCATAAAACGATGAGTCAATGTAAACGTCTTATGAATTAGGTAGTTATATCATGACAGATGTACAATTTTAGAACTAGGTCTATTATTAGAGCAGTGCTAATATCGAAGTAGACCATAATTCTACAAATACACAGAAACAAACAAGCAAGTTAAGAGGATCATTAAAGGCGACAGGCAAAAATTCGTGGAAGACATATCAATGACAGCGCAAAAAGCTGCAACAGAAGGAAATAAGAGACAACTGTCTGACACAATGAAGAAACTGGTAGAAAATATAGTAAACGAGAGAGATACTTCATTTAAAACAGGGCAAACCAATCACTGAGATTCAAGAGCAGACCAACGATTGAAGAAATCTGCATGGTCATCAGACAATTCAAGAGTGGGAAAACAGAAGGTCCTGACAATATACCAGCCGAAGCATTGAAGTCACCCATAAAAGCAACTACAAACATGCTCCATGTGCTATTCAGGAAGATTTGGAAGAACAAATGCCGACAGATTGGAAAGAGGGATACCTTATGATGGCATTAGTGCTCACCACAATTCTCAAAGCTGAACATAAAATAACTGGAGAAGTAAACTTTCAACATATAACAATGAAAGGTCAGTAAACGTGAACGCAGGAACATTCATTCAGGATCCAGTAGAATGGCATGTCTCAGTCATTATTGTGTAATTTATCTCTTTTATTCATATTAAATATATTGTTCAATCTCCAGCATTAACGTGTTCTCCGAAAGTAGGTAACATCATATAAGTGATTCATACAATAGGACGAGTCAGTGTAGACAGTGATGTGACTTCCACGTAAGATCTTATAGATTGGGTATTCACATCATGACAAATTTGCCATTTTATGACTGGGTATATTATTAGAGCAATACTAATAACGAACTTTGAACATGATTCTACGGTCACATTAAGAAACCTAAGAAAGGAGATCTGAGCAAATGCGAAACCCATAGATGCATTACAGTACTAACAGTACAAGGAAACATTTTCAACAGAGTGGTACTGAACAGGATAAAAGACCCAGTGGACGTTCACCTTCGAAATCAACAGGCTGGATTCTTTAAGGATCGGTCATGCATAGACCGAATAGATACACTACGGATCATCGTTGAACAATCAATTTAATAAAGCTCGTCACCATAAATCGATTTTCTTGATTATGAGTAAGTATTTAACAGTGTGGTTGGATAAATATTATGGAAACTACTTCGACACTATGATGTACCCGAGAAAACCGTCAATACCATACGGACTACATACAACAGACTGCACTGCAAAGTGGTGCATGGAGGGCATCTGACAGATGTGCTCCAAGTAATGACCGGAGTCAGACAAAAAAGCTCACTTTCACCCTCTTTTTTTCTTCTGGTGGTTGGCCGGATTGTGATAACCTCCACATCTGAAGGGAAGCAGGGAATACACGGACAGCTTGCATTCATCTAGATGACTTAACCCTCCTATCCTATAAACATCAGCAAATGCAACTAATGTGGCAGCAGTCTCTGCATCAGTAGGCCTCAAGATAAGGGCAAAAGCATGATCCTAGAATATAACACGGTGAACACCAGCCCAATCACACTTGATGGAGGAACTCTAGAAGAGGTGGAAACCATGCATTTGGGTAGCATCATCTATGAACGAGGAGAATCCGATGCAGACGAGGATTAACAAAGCAAATGTAGCATTCTTATGGCTGAAGAATATATGAAACACAAAATAACTGTCAACCAACATCAAAATCAGGATCTTTAATACGAACGTCAAGACAGTCCTATTTTACGGAGCTGAAACTTGGAGAACTACTACAAACATCATCAACAATATACAAGTATTTCTAAACAGTTGTCTACGCAAGATGCTCAATATCCGTTGATTGGATTTCATCAGCAACAGTCTGATGCGGGAGAACAAATCAGCTCAAGAGGAAATTAGGAAAAGACGTTGGAAATGGGTATGACATAAATTGAGGAAATCATCAAACTGTATCATGAGGCAAGTGCTAACTTGGAATTCTGAAAGGAAAGGAGGAAGGCCGAAGAACACACTACGTCGGGAATTGGAGGCACCTTGAAAAAAGTGGAAAGGATTGTCAAGGACAGAGTTGTATGGAGAATCGTAGTGAGCAACCTAAGCTCATCTATGAGGGGTAAAAGGCGTAAGTAAGTAACCTCCACCAACAGATTAAGAACTACTCAGAGATCATAGTGTTAAAATATGTGAACGGATAACATACTCGTAGAAAACAGGTTTTACAATCAAGTGGTTAGTGTTTAGAGCCTAATTTCAGTAAGAACAGTGTTCTATTAATCCATGAATGTTAATGACGGTAACATCAAACATGGCAATAATTACTGGTATACTATCAACGGCACATAGCTTATATGAGTGCAGTTACACAAAGACCTAATGGTATCAGAAAGTTAAGACTTAAAAACAACTGATCATTTCAACCTGCCATCCGTCAAAGGTTTTCGAGCGTTATGATCAATCAAGCATTCAGACTCCTTGATGAGATGTTTCGGAGTCCACCTATGTAAAACCACGCCTGAAGTACTGTCTAAGCAGCCTGTCCTCATCAATAATACTGCCAGTCGAGCGTCTTCAGCGTGAGGGGAACGAAAGAAGCGGGAGATCTCTCAAAACTTTACTACGATGAACGCCTAAAACACATAAACCTTTTTCACTTATCGTTCCTAAGTAACCTCATCTTGTCATTCCGTATCTTGAATAACGATTCTGGTGTCACTGTGTTTTATCTTTCTGCTTTCTTCAGAGCTAACCAAGAAATTTAAAAAACAACGATCTCATAAACCCGCAGTAAGGATCCGTTTTCTTATCGTCTTGCCCGAACAAGTGGTATCAGCCCATCAGCAGATATTTTTCAGAAGAAATTGAACCCTCACTTCAAAAAAATCTAGAGGAATCAACACATGTTCATCAATCTACTATCTATACTACTGAAGACTAAAGTTTTGGCAACTGATCTACATATATAGTATTGAAATTGATGGGCGGGCAAATTTAGTTAAGCGTAACATCAACTGTAATGAGGATAACTGTTTGTTTATCCGGAGATTCATTTTTTCCACTGGAGGTTTCAAATAGCACTTTAATATCTGAACTCAAAATGCTTATTGAGGTTGAAAGTGGCATATCTGGAGTTGATTTTGAACTATCAAAAGAAGGACAGGTTTTATGCGTTCAGTCAACTACCAATATCGAAAAGGCAGGAATCAAAGATGAGGATCTTCTTTTTGCCACTCCTATCCCAAGACGCAACATGAATGAATCGAAGAGTGACGGTTCGGTAAGGTCGTTTTTGATATACTTGACCATACTAATTCTTAACAGTCACGTACAGTTCCTTTGTTAGATTTTAAGTCAATCAAGGTTCCAGGTTCATCGGGCTCTGGGATACCTGAAGCTATTCGCAAGCATTTTCTAACTGGTGCTGCCCGTCAGCTGTCTATATTGCGTGAACGAAATCCAGAGTTGGCTGCCGTCATTAATGACCCAGGTAAAATATTATTTTTTTCTTCAGAACCTCAGAAAAATTACCCTTGTCATAACTTAAGCCGTTTATATTAATAGCTGCAATAATCGAAATCCTTTTGTACTTTTCCCAGGGGTCCGTTTACTCACTAGTATTTATTGTAGGGCTTGGTAGACCATATTTAACCTTTACGAATTATGTTTATGTGGCTGTTCATCCTTATTTAGAAAGTTTCAAAGGCTAACTTTACCATGTTATCACTTAGATCGTTCTTTTGGCCCATAAACCGATGTGAGGTCCGAACTTTTACCTTGGTTTATAGACCCTTAGATTATCTTTACTTAATTGATTACTTGGATGGAGGATGGATAAGCAAAAGTGTTAACCGCGAAGTAGTTACCAATGATGCGACATGTCAATATTAAGTTCCTCAGCCCAAAGTTAAATGATAAGAATCAAGACAACTGAGATATTTGTTATAAGATAATCTAACAGTCCCTTCGGTGAGACTATAATTTATGGACGACCTTTAAGCAACACTAAGATGACCTAGACAGTGTCCACGTGATAACTTGGATTAAGTGAGGGTTATAAACCAATATGAGGAATTAAAATTATGATATACAGTTGATGGTTAAGGTTAAGAATCGATTTAAGGTTTCCATCGCGAACTGACAGTTAAAATGTCGAAATGCTATTTAGTCTAGTGAGTGGGTGAATTTCGCGCTAAAATCCAAGACTCGTATCTTATACCTAATTAGTTCGTCCATAAATCATAGTCTCGCCGTCCCTTCACTAGTTTAATTATCATGTACTGGACCCCTGCTAGTAAATTTACTTCCTATTTAAAATGTGAGATTGTTTCTTGGATTCGATAATCAAAGGAGGACCTATTGTAATCTGGGGACGAAATCTGAAATATTTCAGATATTTGAATATATGAAGCAACTTAAGACCTGCAGTTTTTTATTGTCACTAAATACTCCCGATCATTCAAGTCATTTACATTAAACAGGGGCATTCCGTTAGTCGCAATGAAAATACTGACTGCTTATTTATATCACTTGCTGGTATTTCTTAAAATGCTTAAGTCAGTCAGTCGGTAACAACGCAGAACTTCGTACGTACGTACATCAGTTCGAGTTGCCACACCACAGTAGCACAGCGATGCCGTGGTCGATTCAAATCCCGTAGTGGTAGAGGTAATAAGAGTATAAGCAGTAATCGGAAGGATTAGTGTTTGGAGATGTTAATGTACTAGGCATTGGACCACATCCTTCGTGTGTAAATATGTGTAGGAGCTAGTATTGCTACCTGGCTGTTTAAATAAATTCTCGATTTGACGGTTTTCAATGGGCTGCTTTAAACAATAAACCATCACAGCTTCTATTTCCCTTAGAAGCTAAAAAAATGCATTGAGATGCCCTATGGTAATGCGCCAGTTGACTGTGGTTCAAATTTTAGGGATTTATATCACTTCACCTACCGAGTACATTTATTTGTTGTGGGTAAAATTATCTACTTAGGCATCGAGAGGATATGTCTTAGAGACCCTACTACCGAAAAGCATACCAAAGGTCTACTTTTCGACACGACTTTAGGCTTAATTGAGATACCCTGTTTTCTGCCATTTAATGATTAGTTAAGTCTAACTAGGTTTCTGAAGATTAGCTGAAATTAAGTTTATATTTGATTTATAAAATCCATACGAGTCTATAGGGGTGGGGTTTAATATCACTTTAGATTTTCTCAATTATTTTTACTGGTGTTCTAATCTATACTCTAGAAGCATTATCAAGTAACATCTCCCTGTTACTTATGTTCATAAGTTTTCAAGAGGTCCATATAATTTAATTCTTACACCGTAATATCATACGGGACTCATTATTTATATCTCTAAAATCCTACTTTGTCTTATCACTGTCTCATGAGCTCCATTAAATGACAATTCTTGGCTCTGATTGATCACTCATTATCTCTTAGTATTCCTGTCTCAGTAAGGTTCAGGGTTTTTTAAACTCATTCACCAGGTACTTAGATATGGGTCACACTCGAAATGTGAGGGGCGAAAATTCTACCCGGTTTTCCAAACTAAAATAAGTGGAGTGGAGTTCGAACTTTGGACTTGGTGGACGAAGATCCAAGGCATTAGGACAACAATCACAATCCATGGTTTGTGTGATATTAAATGAATTTCGATAATCTTCCTCGTATCAACCCTCTTGACCACTTCAAAAAAGTTGACTTCGTTCAATTAAAACGGAATTAGGTGGCGCTGGTCGCTACCACTCATTTTATCTAGATCAATGTCATATTCCATTATACGTTCACATTAGTTTATTTGCGGAATTCCCCCTTATTTAAATGATGGAAGCCAGGTTTTCATACACATTAACTGCACTTTAGACATTTGTATCCATCAAGCTTCTCTTTGGTCACTCCACTGCTTATTTACAACTGATAGTTACAGACCAAACAAATAAACGGAAATGTTTTAAAATTCAGCATAGAGATGTATCATTTAAGGCACCAATACTCGATATGAAGGAAATAAAATAATCAAATGAATAATAACAACAACTGGGAAAAAAGGGTTCATGGGAACAAAAAGACGCAAATGGCCAATAAAACTAAACTAACAGCATCATACCCAGTAATATGTATGATATTCGTCTTCCCGTTTAGTGTCAACTCAGACCTATTACTCTCAGTTAATAAGAAAGTTCATGTATGTAACAAGTTCAGTTTCTATTTGGGCTATAGTTTAGGAGTTGAAGTACTCAATTTTCAGCTATTATTTTAAAAATTCTGGTAGAATTGTTTGTTTTCAAACCAAAAGTGCAACTACGAACTCAGTAATTGGGTTCGTATTTGCTCATTAAGCTACATTAACTGCCATTTATTGAGAACTCTGAATTTTAAAATGATGTTCCAAAATTGCGAATATGAACGCTTTTATACACCAAACATTTTTATATTCTAATAAATTAAATAATTTGACTGTTTTGGTTAATTTCACGGTCGTACTGAGATCTACTTGTACGAAATCGTTCTATTGGTAATGTGAGAGCATTTTGTCAAATGTTTATTTATTTTATATATTGCTTCCAATCGATAATAATTTATATCCATTTTAACTATTTTACATTAGTTGCCTTTAAAAGGGTTTTTGAATCACAACAGAGTACTGCTCGTCAGCATCGGGAGGAGCTTGAAAACTTATTGTCTGCAGATGCTCTAAATCCAGCAGTTCAAGAAAGAATAGCTGAGCTTATAAAGTCAGTGGGGATTATTTCTCTTTTTTGAAACCTAATGCTTCTGTTCATGTCTACGGCTTTGTTACTGTTTTACGAGCTATCTAGTATGATAATAGGGCTTGTATTATCACGTTAAATAACACGGTACATGGTGTTAAAACCTACCGACTACCAATTAGTACATTTAAACATATCTTACAAATTGTTCAGTCTTTCTCGAACTATTTGTACTATCAAACTTCACTCTATAATCTTCATGGGACGACGAGCTTGTGACGATCCTTATTATAGCTGTTGCAAAATCTCAAAAGCTATCTGATTTAGTTTCGTTCCAGAGTCCATTTATTTCACCTTCAGAGTAGAAGCTTTGTATATAGTAATATAATTAGTAGCTTTAATTAAAATTTCTAAATTTGAAAACGTCAAAGTATTTTCCAAAAATATTGACCTAAACTAGTAAGTGTTTCTAATACTTTTTTAAGTTTCCAAAAAACCTATGCCTAATGACTGATTCATATCTGTGTTTACCGTAATCATGAATGGTTGAGTTTTCAAGTGCGTTAGTCATCAGGTTTATCTGAGCGATAGCAATGGCTCCCCGACCGTTGCTGCTACGTTGACGGACTTGACTATTGTGAGGAACCTATCAGGTTATACTGTGGTGTATGCTACTTATGTCGACATAAGTAGTATGTAACACCAATCAGAAGCGGAATGCCTGGTAGCAGAAGGTTGAGTAGATCAAATCAAAGGGAACGGAAACAGACAGTAATTGTTATGGCAATAAAGGAACGATGAAGTTTGAGATAATTAATGGAGGGTTGGAAAATGAAGTATTGAACGCATAGTTTTCTCATTTTACCAAGATACTTTGTAATTTTGTGTCAACATATATTCGGTTGTCCCCATCTGCGTTTTCGGTCATTACAATACTGGTTGAAACAATCGTTCCTCAAGGTTCTTCCATGACAGGCAGGTCGGTTAAAGAGCGGTAAGACTAAAGGAAGCAAACCCAAGGTCTGAGGGTGAAGTTGTACTTCTGACTGTACAGAGGTGTTACGGAAGTGAGGTGTTTCTCTCAGACAGCCAGTATGACAGCGATGCTGCCTCCCGCAAAGGTCGGCCCTAAAAATACACACTTTGCCTAATTATTATAAATATAATGAATAATTATTATAATTGTCGGGTGCCTAGTAAAGACTTGTAAACTGCGAATACAAGAAAATCAGACTGACTTCAGACCTGACCGTGTCTATATCGACCACATATTCACCATTTGTCGGATTTTAAAGCAACAACATAATTATCGGTGTCCGACAATGGTGGTTCTTCTCGACTTAAAGGCAGCATTTGACTCGGTAGATCGTGAGGTTTTGTGGCAGTGTCTGTCATTGAAAGGCTTACCTCAGAAGTACGCAAACCTTGCGAAGGCTCTTTGCTCGAACACTACTAGTCGAGTCAGAGCTTATGGCGAACTGTCATCTGATTTCGCAGCCTCAGGTGGCGTCCGACAAGGCTGTCCATTATCTCCACTTCTGTTTAATTTCATCATAGACATACTACTGGAAATAACGCCATTGTCGACCAAATCTTTAGGAATCGGTCTCCTTCCAGGAGGTCCGCATATTGAATTAGAATACGCAAATGACATAGTCCTGTTTGATGAAGGCTCTGACAAAATAGTCTTTTGGTAGCACTGAGCAACAAGTTCAGGATGTTTGGTATGCGTTCCTGCAACTCTAAATGCAAGTTGTTGTTTCAGGACTGGCCTGCGTCAACAACTGAACTAAGGATGGGGAGTGAAGTAGTCGGACGCGTCGACAAAACTTATCTTGGAAGTCTGATCAGCCCTAATGGGTTGGTGTCTGTTTTACTTTACGGGTGCGAAACGTGACCACTAAGAATAGGAGATATTCGTAAGCTACTAGTATTTGACCACAGATGCCTTAGAAATATTGCTCGCATCTGCTGGGACCACCGGGTAAGTAATAGCGAGGTTAGACGTAGGGTATTGGGGAATGTTGGTAAATCAGTTGATGAGATTGTGAATCTTCACCGACGGAGGTGGTTGGGACACGTGTTACGTGTGCCTGAACACCGATTACCACGACGCGAAATGCTGACTAGTGTTGGGGATGGTTGGAAGAAAGTTAGAGGCGACCAAACCAAAGCGTGGCATCAGTGCTTGAAGTCCCTAACTTCTGGTCTGAGCCATGTTGGTAGATGCAGACCGCGTGACTATCGTAACCAATGGTTGAAGACTCTGGGTGACATGACTCAGAATCGATCACAATGGCGTAGGTGTATACACTCTCAGTCTTCCTTTAAACTATGAGATTAAAATCGCTTTATATCTTTCTTTCTGCGAACTAATTCTTTCTTCCTGTACTATATCCTTATATGCAATCTTTCTTTTATAGATTACCACAACTGAATGAACTACTTTATGAATCCGGTGTTCTTTTAATTTGTTGTAATTTTGTGTTGTATGGTTCATTTCCTAGTACCAAACAGTATCATGCTTTTTTCTTAGAATAAATGGCAAGTGTTTTGAGTAAAGGATATGGATCAGATGTAATTAAGCATCAACTTGTGCATATTAAGGATTCAACGGCTTCAAAAACGTTGATATTCAATGAATTGGGAGTGAGATAGACGAAGCCTCAGTGGTTGGAAAAAACATGGGATTATTTAGTAAAATCATCAATCGTATCTCAGTGTAGGCTTTGGGATCGGGATTAACCAAGTAGAGAGTTCGATGATTGATACGACTCAAAATGGATTAGAGTATATCAGATGCATTCTGCTAATAGTAGCTACCTTTATTATTATATACTTACACAGATTTCTTTGTTTTGTTTCTTATTCCACCTTTTTAAGTCTTTACCATTATTGTCACCATTTTATATCTGTCATTTTATATCCACTATGCCGCTTTAAAGTATATTGACCCAAACTTTTGAGAATTATTTGTCTTCACTTTACATTTTGATAGACAAAATAATATTGACATGCAAATGGAAAGTGCTCTGGAATATTATCCGGAAACATTTGGCCAAGTTTCAATGTTATTTATCAATTGTAAAATTAAAGATCAAAATATTAAAGCATTTGTTGATTCTGGAGCACAGAGTACAATTATGAGTGAGGATTGTGCACGACGTTGTAATTTAGATTCATTAATTGATAAAAGATGGGCTGGGAAAGCTTATGGTGTTGGAACACAAACTATAATAGGTCGAGTTCATAATGGATTAATAGAAATTGGAGGTATATTCATTCCGGTTAGTTGAATTGATTAGATTCCTCATTTTAAATCAGTTGTGGTCAACTTGTCTTTTAGAATATTGTTTTAGATGTTGCACTTCATTATAAATAGATTTGAAACTTATTCTAATAATCTGTATCTGAAGTTTCATGTTAACCATCTGTGGTGAATAATCGATGTTAATTTAGCTTTCAGCAGAGAGTGTATCGTGGAAAATGAATTTGTTACCAGTTATTTACGAAAATATTTATTTTAATCATTAGCTTACATTTTTTTGGATGGATGACACTAGCATCTTATTCAACTATGATTTTACAGGGGGATAATATGTCTATTGAAGTTAAAAAGAAATGCACCAAACATTCAAAGTTAGTCATGCGGAACGTTTGATTATTTTGTTGATTAGATAGAACTTAAAGAGCTAGATTAATTTGTATCAAATAATCTTTCAATTATTAGTGTAATACACTATTAAATGCATTGAAATAATTATTGCCACTTTGCACTTGATGTTTTTCGCTATATGATTGTAATAAGGTAGTGGAATTATCAGATTAGAATTGTTTCGGAAAGCACTTAGACAATTTTTCTAGTTTGTTTGATGTACTTCATTTTAGTTATGTATGCATGATGTGGTATACCTAATTGCGAGTGATTTTCATCTATGCATCTCACGTGCCCTTTGGGGTTTTAGATAAATTATATACTTCTTCTACTTCTTCGTTTCTCTTCGAGACAAATGAGAAGCGGTTTTTAAGTTATGAAACATGATGGGTTCGCTGAAAATGTCTGTTTTTGTCAGTTTTATTGTTCAAACTCTGTATAGTCACAAATATTTACAATTTTTAAAAAATGATGATGTGTCGGTTAGTGACAAAGAGGGAAATGTGACTGGTCTTGGGGAACACTAATTTCTAAATGAATGCAAAAAAGGTTCTTTTGCAGAAGTTTTTGGGTCCTCAATATTTTTGCAGCCTGTCAGGTGTCTTTTTTTGAAGGGCAATGATCATTGATTACCTAGTTGACTTGGCTTTTTAACTGTTTACAACCTCAGTCAATTTAATAAACGTACTGGTTAAACTTAAAAGTCACTACGTTGCATAATCAAAATTAATGAATCTCCGTTAAAAATTTCAGAGGTTATCGTTAACATGTTTAATTATCTTGTACAATATTTTCATGATTATATTGTTTTTTTTAAAGTTCAAATCTACTATGTAAATATGAAATGAAATTAATCATTAAGAGTTAAATAACAGAAAAGATGGAGTCTAAGTGAACTTATTTAACAAGATTAAATAATATAACTCTAAGCTGCTTTTGATTCAGATGAATACTATTTGGTGGATGATCTATCATCATTCCTAGAACTTTTCTAAATCTTAATCAGAGTTGTTATATTTATACTAAAATGTAATACGAAATTCCTAACATTAAATTAGAAATAACATTTACTATTAGTAGGGCACTTGGAAGTGACCAATGTCATGTTTGTAGGTGTCATTACCAAGGTTTGATTTGATAATTTCGAATAAATTGAGCATTGGGTTCATTGTTATAAATAAAAATAATATATTTGTAATATCCCAATGAGTAGAAAACTGGATTTTCTGACGTTTCGTGACTTAGTGTAAGTCACTTCTTCAGAGAATAAATAACCAAATTAAAATTAATCCAAGTTTAAATAGTACAACGCTGTACTATTTAAACTTGGATTAATTTTAATTTGGTTATTTATTCTCTGAAGAAGTGACTTACACTAAGTCACGAAACGTCAGAAAATCCAGTTTTCTACTCATTGGGATATTACAAATATATTATTTTTATTTAATGTCATGTTTATCTAGTCTTTCAGTTCTAATCGAACTCTATTTATCAAGTTGTGATATAGCTATTAGTCTAAGTGGCTTGACATCTGGCGCACTATATTGAGTTTTAACAAATACTTTTGTCAACTACGTCGTGATTTGAATTCATTTATAATATGTATATCAAAATTTGTTTGAATGACGTGTTACAATCTAAAGCATGTCTAACTATAAAGATATTATAACACAGAATTGAACTTTCATTATACATACTTTGTTTTAAGTAACCACTTAGTCTCACTAGCCTTCATATAAATGGTATATCTCAAATAATAAGCTTGGTTTTGATAACTGAGTAACATTAACTCTATTATTATTATCATCATCACATGGAAACAATGAGATATTATTTCCAGTTTATTCTATCATAAATAATCTCTTATCGGCTGTTGACAAATAAAAATCTTGCATACTGAATTCCGAATATATACTAATTATTTCGTTTTTCAAACAATCAGTGCTGGTGGATGTGTCAAGAAGATATTAGAAGTTTTTCTTGAGAATTATAATTTATTGATCGCTGGGTGGCGATCAATGTCATGCGTGTATATTCCTTATTAGTGCAGATCGAATGCTATCGACCATGTTGCAATGTGGCCACCAGTTTAGGTGACTCGACATTGCGGGCACTATATATTGAGATTAGATGGTGGTTGAAGGTAGCCGACAGGAAACCCTGGACCCGGGTTTCGGGCTACTTGGCACTCGTCAGCAAGGTGTACCTGTAATCTTGAGGGAACTGGTGTTCCCTGGGGAATTCGATCTCGTGTCACTCATGGTCGATAGCGTTCGATCTGCACTAATAAGGACTAGACACGCATGACATTGATCACCACCCAGTGATCAATCAGTTGTGATTACATTTCAGTCATACAGGAGGTTGATCGCGGCTCGGATAGCTCAGTGGTAACGTTTCTGACTGTGAAGCTGGTTGACACGAGATCGAATCCGCCAGGGAGCACGAGTTCCCTCAAGATTACAGGTACACCTTGCTGACGAGTGTAAAGTAGCACAAAACCCGGTTCCAGGGTTTCCTGTCGACTACCTCCAACCACCATCTAATCTTGTGAATTATATATAAATTCTCGTATTTTCATTATTGCTTCCATTTCTGTTCAGGTTTCTTGGAGTGTACATTGTTTCTATTCAATTCTTGTTCTGATTTCAGTCCACTTTATTATTGTAGTGGAGTACTACATAAATAAACAGAAAATAACATTACTGTAATCATGTTAGGAGATGTGTCATACAACGATTTTTATTGATAAAAAAAATAAGAAAGTGCCTATTCCTTCCAGTTCACTAAGTGTTCCTGTAAATGTTTTTCAAAGATATTTTGTTAAATATAGTTTGTAATTCTCTGACTAAAAATCCACTCTCATGAATTGTCTAAATTACATACTACTTAAAATGTCCGATGTTACCTATCATCTGTTTACTTTTGCGTTATTTTACAACTTACATAATCAATATTTTTTATTCAATGTATAGTTTTCTAATTTATCTTATTCTAGACGTCTTTCATTGTACTAAAAGATCAATCTATGGATCTGCTCATTGGTTTAGACATGCTCAAACGTCATCAATGTTGCATTGATCTTAAGCGTAATGTTTTAATCATTGATGGCCGTATTGAAGCGCCTTTTCTACCAGAATCTGAAATTCCATTGTCCTTATCAAATCCATCTATTCTGGATAATGAAGATACAGATGAAACGGTGGGTAGTGCTTCATCGTTCTATTGAGTTATCCTTTTTTGCTACTTTTTAAATTGGTCTAAACTCAACAATAATAGGGTTAGAAGACAAAGACTTTAGTTTCAAGGAATGTTTAGTTCTAGTGATTATTACTGTCTTTTGTTCCATTCTCTTTATATTTGATGATAAAATCTTAATAGTTGGTGATGAAAAACCAGTATTTGACCTGTGCTTGCGAAGAATATAAGCAAAGTATCTCAAACCCAAAACGTTTTCCTTCTTCCATGCTCCATTTACCTCATACCATTCAAAATAAAGGAAATTAATCAAAGCACCATATTAACCACTGAGAGTAAGCATCCTTTGAAACGAATTCTAAGTCGATTGGATATACTCAAGCGGTAGCCGAAGTCTTATAAGATGATCTTGATCTAAAACAAACAATACTGGCTATTGTACACACTACGGAAAAGCCCTCAAAAGATCAGTGAATAAAGAAAAGTAAATGATAGTAGATAACCATCTAACAAAAAACAAAATGGAACAAACTGAGAAAGCACTAGCTAAGTCGACCTACAGAATAAAACTACTCAGAATTGTGTTAAAAAGAGGAATACTGTTTATTGAAAGATAAGGAAAATTGAAGGAGAGTACATACAGAAAGAATCAATATTGAAATAAAGCAGCTCTTCTAAGTAAACAGTACTTAGAATAGAAAAGATTAGAAATCATTGCGGCTATAATTGGCAACAAAAGCTTCAATAAAGAAAAAATAAGCCTACCAATAAGTAATAAGATTCTTCTAACTTCTATTTATGCACTTACTGATGGGTTTGTGGTTTCTAACGAAGAATTTAACTTTCATGGTCACGCCACTACGTCGGAAACGGCCTCAATGCTCTGAATACATTGTTTCACTGATTAAACGCTATCAAAAGCAAGTCAGATATTAGTCAGCATGAATGTACTGTTTCCTTTTTAGACGTATTCTGGTCATAGCATCATAAACTACACAACTCTAGTTTCAAGAAAATAAATGACATTGGATTGTCAAATATATTTGACTCAATTTTAATTTTTAACCGGTAATAAAAAAATTCATTCTGTTGAAATACAAACACAAGATCTTTGCATTTCCTTTCTTTTCCATAAACCTCAACGAAAGTTTTTTTACTTTCCAGTCTCTCCTCCTGGTATATACCGAAATCTGAAATATTCTAAGCGGTGTGATAACAACACAGTGTGAAATTAGAATGGACATAACTTTCTTATAGTAGGTAAAACTAAGTAAAAATAAAGGTAGTCGTTGTAACGTCAATACAACATGAAAATTGCGCTCTTCTGAGAAATATAAACAAAAGGGTATAAAACTTGAAAGGATACTTCTGTCTAATTGGATGATGGTTACACGTTTTTATAACCTTTATTACTATTGGTTAGATAAACCTAAGTAGTAAGTAGAAGGAGTTTTGACTTTATTATTTACTAATTGTAAGCTAAATACCCATACTACTTAGTTATAATTCAACAACTTAATGTTTCTATACTATTCCGATATATTTAAAGTTTTTTGACTACTGTCTTTCATCATCACTATTGCTTAGATAATATTACTAACTTATATTTAGTTCATTATATGTAGTAAAAATCATAAGATTATTGTAAACGTTGAAAAATATTTGAAAATTATGATGATACAGTTAAAGAAATAAACCCATTGTTATGTTTTTTTAATCATTCAACAATAATCTATCCTGATCTGTAATCTAAATATCTTCCCCTTAGATATTATTGTTTTTTGTGAAAGTTTTGTAAAATTCTTCCTCCTTTTAAATGTTTTAACTACACTGATTTGTTCACAATTTTATTGTTCATATAGCATGTTACTTATACAATTTCATTATTATTTTCTTAGTTTGATGAATCACAAAAGTTAAAAATCCAAGTACTTGTTGATCGTGGTATTACTCGTTCCAAAGCAATCGATGTATTACATCGTAATCAATGGGATTTAGATGCAGCTTTAGCTTCTCATCTTCACAGTATGTTTGGTCAATCTAGATAATAAATTGGAATATGAATTGCTGACTATCTATCCATCCATCTATCCATCTATCAGTTTATTGTTCTTCTTAATTAATTTTCTGTTTTTTTTTCTTTCTGAAAATATATTCAGGGGTTTTGCTATTAGTCAATTTTGTTTCTTATTCATCTGTATTATTTTATTCTGACTTATTTATTAGTCTGTATGAATAAAGCAAACAAGTTAATTTGGTTATTCCTTATCGTTGATACTTGTATTTTTATTGAAAAAAGGATTGTTTCTTTTTGAATAAAAAACAATTCTAAGAAAATTGTTGAATTTGTCAGTTTTTTTTATTATATTATTAATGTATGTTATTTTATACTTATTTCTGTCAATCTAATATCGAACTCTCTGTTTTGTATATCTTTATTTTGAACAGAAAGGTTGTATAGTTCCAAAATTATATTTTTATGTGTTCTCTAAGAAGTTACTTAATTGTTTGAGTTCTAAATATACAAATTTAAAGGTGTATATCTAGGGGGATTCATATAAGAATTCGAGAAGTATCAAAGATTTATAACTTTACAATAATGATGTTGCTTTCAATTATTAATCTTACTAATGAATCAGTTAATAAGTCGTTCGATTTTCATGATGTAAATCTTATAGTTGTTATTTATTTATGATTATTAAAAATTTCATTAAGTTTTGATTGTTCTATCTAGAATAATTAGTGCGCAACTAACCTATGGTCTTTAATTTAACTAATCTGCAAAAACTATCTCATCAAACATAGCGTACTGGCTGGTGACTAGAAGAAAGTTGTTAATAGAGTTTAATGATGAAATTGAATGCTCATTACTCTGGATAGAAAATTGATTAATGTCAAGAGTGTCTATTGTGTTTTGACTCAATGATCGTTAGGATTTGTTATGAGATATAAAGGTTTCAAATTCTTACCTTTGAGCAAGACGAAAAAACTGTCTAATGCTCCATTGGTTTCACTGATTCTTTATGAGATGACAATTCTTCTTTCGCTTTAATATTTGTGTTTGCTTTCTACGCTACTGTCTATCGGGTTTAAGTAGTACGGAGTATTTATTTGAATTTGCTCGGCATTTAACAGAAAAATGGACATGATTCAACACCACTATAAATGCACAAGTGACTGAGTGGTATAGATTTATAGGTCATTCACCAGTCAGTAGAAATTAAGACTCAGTTTTCAGGTTTATTCGACACCTGCCATATCAGGCAAAATCTTGCCCACTTTATTTTCACTGTCTTTCTCACATTGATAACTTGATCTAGTGATTTCTATTTAGAAGCTATTATATTTCAAGCTCTTTTGGTCACAACTTGCATTTATTTCGCGTGACACTTTCCCCTCTAGTTTGGTTTTAAGGACAATCGACAATTCCGGATGTTCTTTTGGCATTCAAATTACCAAATAGCATTTGGCAGAGGTAAGAAATATCAGTGAGGCACCTTGTGAATAAATAGATGTGATGAAAGTCAAAGTGACCAATTGAAATGAATCTGATTACTTCAACTATTAGTTAACTCCATAAATTTGAAGATTAACGTATTAAACTGGAATTAATATATTTGATGATAGAGGAGTTGAATCGAGTGGTGTGTTCATAATATTATATAAATATTAGCAGTCTAAAAATTTCCATAGAATATTCAGAAACAAAGAATATTTGAGCGAACAGTTGTTTCCAATAACTTCATCATCGGGCTCTATAGTTATAAACCCATATTTATTGTGATATTTTACAAAGCCGAAAATAAAGCATTACGTTAATGAATTTGACAGTGTTAAAAATGGTGAACTTTTGCATCTGTTACATAAATAATTCAATACAAAATAAATCTGGTCAAATATCAGCCACAGAATCAAACTATTATATTCTGAGGATAGTTTACATAGCGAAATAACCTAAAATACACATGAAAAAATAATGGCTGTACAGAAGATTTTTATCAGAACAAACTCACAGCGGGAAAAAACCCTTTGTCTAAAGCTCGATTTTAGGGGAGCATAGCGGGTGATGATTTAAAACGCCAACTTGGAAGATCTATTGAAAGGACATTTCACACTGCCACGTTACATTTAATCTTTTTAACTAAGCCAATACTTACACAGCAAACGAAGGATAGGTTACCGATGATATGCTTCTACATGTATGTATGCCAATTCAACTGCTCATGTGGAGCTAGTTTTATGGGCCGTATTCAGGGGGCTGTACCATCATGTGAATCTGAACACGTACCAGCGTGGTTGGGAAAAGTAGTTTCGAAATCTGTTAACATTATTTCTCTCTTGACAAATAGTGAAAATCAGAATAAAATAGATGAAGTTTTCTTTGTTTCGTGTCGTGTCATAAAACCTACTTACAGGAGTTAGACTACGAATCCAATACATAGCTAAGGCCATGTGAATCGGCTCCATGAAACCCAATTTATGTATCCAGAAGATTTAAACTCGGCCTCTATGTTTACCTTGGTCCACAACTGAATCATCAGATATCTAAACTGGATATTATAAACCTCTTATCGCCTCCCAATTCTTTTCGCCTTCATATTTTTCTTAATCTACATTAATTTTTTATAATTATCTTGACAACACCCCTTATTACATATTATATTCACTAGTACAAAGGATGATATTCTGATTTTAGATGATAATAATGATTCTCGTGTTGAAATTGTACGATTTATGGCTATAATTTGATTGTAAGTTTTATCACTGATTGATAAGCAGTCAGAAGACCACTTAAAACTAAGAAACAGTCAAAAGCCATTTTGTTCTATTTTGAAAATCTTGTATAGTACTTATTTACACCCATGCACAAACCTTTAAGTCTCACAGAATGTATTTATCGTACTTATGTGACGTAAATGAGAACAAATTAATTATTCAATATTCTCTGATTTGGTTTTTCATAAGAACTAACTTCACAATTTAAGTATTGGTTAAATTTTTACAGTCCACAAATTTCAAAATAAATATACAATCTTGAAGTTCAGATGATATAGCTTATAATTATTTACAGCAGCCCAGTCGAACTTTCAAAACACATATTTTTGAACTGTGTAAATTCACTCGTTTTAGATTTGCTTTAGCTGACTGATCATTATATTTTAACCACATATACTCTTGAACTTTTCTCGAAAGCTTACAACCTATTGCAACGCTAATTTTGTATATTTTACTCTTCGATTGCTTCTTTGAAGAAATGTGAATCAATTACAAAACAATTAAGGTAGAAAATATGTATACCAAGTTCTACCTTTTTATACATGATAGTGGTATGGTAATATTGATGTATCAGTCAGAATCGAGAAAACTATTTCTGGGTTTTTGGGGCAAATTTAAAAAATGAATGACTTTTATTGCAAAATACTTGATATAAATACTTTTGTATCGTGCTTAGCAAGTTTGAAATTTTGAAGAAAATGTCCTTTGCCATTATATATTCAAAATCTTAATGGTGAAAAATCCTTTATAATTAGGTTTTATCTATCATTTAAGTTACAGTTTACTTTAATTTACCTAATCTGCAAAAGCTATCTCATTAAACATAGCGTACTGGCTGGTGACTTGAAGAAAGTTGTTAAGGTAAACTCAAAGAAATTTCGTTAATGGTTCATTGAACAACATATATGTTAATTAAGCAGGAATGTTAAAACAGATGACAATTTCTACATAAGACATTATAATGTCATTTTGACGACTATAATAGTTTTCTTATAGTTTTATCTCTGTAACTGCTTAACAATCTTATTGTTAACTGGTTTGTTAGCGATGACGAACTTTCTATAAAAGTATTTATAGTTATGAGATGGATTCACAGAAATTGATCGTTTATCTTGAATAAATTACACTTTTATTAATCTGATTATATATAAATACTTCTATAAAGTGAGTATCGGGGAAGTTATAATGAGCCCTAATAAACTAATAAAATTCCTAATGATACCATATTTTAACAGGTTTCATTAGTTTTGTTGCGAAATACTTAATTGATACAAACTATCTACTCAATAAATTTACATGGTATTTGTTATAACTGTGACTGCAGATTAGAGCGCAGCGTATTATCGATCGGAACAAAGACGCGTAAAACACGTAAGAACGACCTAGAGTCCCGATTGGCTCTGCCTCGCTGTCTAGCCTAGCCAGTTGAGTCCAGAACCCAAGTCTCAGCCTCTGAGATATGAATCATTATATTTCAAGCATACTGAGTTTATATACCAAACAAACTGACCACAACGTACCAATAAAATATGAAACAACATTTGTACAAGAACTAGCCAGATGTGGCTGTGAATGAGGGAGGTAGTAACCAATATACTGGGTATAACTTAAGAATGGTAAAACGTATAATAATGGTTCATAGGTCAAAATAAAGCTCATAATAAGAGGGGCATGAATATGAACAGTTTAGTTACATAACAATTATACGATAAAAAATATACTCATAATATTGGTCCATAAATGGATCCCAAAAATTACTATTCATTATTCTTATCGGGATACAACAATAATGCTTGCATGAATCTTCCGATTTATGTTTAAAACTGCAGTTGATCAGTCACCTATTGACATAACTGCATACTGTGTATATTGCCTTAATTCACAAGCATTCTAAACAAAGATGGATAGTGGCTAGCAGCGGAATGCAGGACATACATTTCGTCATATTTGAGACTCATCAGAGGGATTTACATGTATCTCAGTGTTGATGTTTACTCTGAAATTCGAACTCAGTATCATTAGCTTCAAACTCCATCGCGTTATCTACTTAGCTATTGAGTCCTGATATCCATCTTTGCTTATAATGCTTGTGACTTAAGACAATATCGAGGTAATACGCACGGCAGGCCCATATGCTGATAAGAGACTGATCAATTACAGTCTTAAACATCAAAGGGAAGATTCAAGTAAACAATACCAAGTGAATTTAAAACTTCACCTCATTAGACAAGCAAATGGCTATCAGGATGATGCGATGGCATTTGAAGCTAATGGTACTGGGTTCGAGTCCTAGAGTGAACATTAAATCTGAGATTCAGGTACATCCAGCTGATAAGTCCTGGATTTCATTCCTAGCCACTATCATATCTGCCTAATAGTTCAAAATTTTCTTGAAAATTATATAATCATCTTTTAAGTTGCCTATACTCATTCTTATACAAATGACCTTGACTAATCAAGGGTATTCCGTATGCATTTTTATTCAATTGACAATTCCAGTCAAAACTTATTACTTAAAAGATCGGTTTCTATTTTTTATGCATAAATAATTATCCTTTATAATTGATTGAATTTAAAATAAAACCTCTACTTTTGATTTTTTGTAAAGGAGAAAAAAAGATGAAATCTTGTAATTATTATTCAATTTTAAGAGAAATGAACAGCTTCAATTGACTCATGATCTCAACCATTGAAATTACTACAATATCCACAAAACCCCTTCCGATATTAATCAAAATATGCTCACTAGTGACTGGCTTCAAAAGATATTTCCTGGAGTTCCAATGAGAAGTAGTGACCATTGGAGTTCAACCAGGTCTGTTGCGAGATAGCAACTCTTTGAAGACAATGGTGTGTCGCTCAATTTTGTGGATTAGTCGGAGTTAGACATTAACACCGTTGGATGCCGGACGGCTCAGTGGTCTAGTGGTTAAGCGCTTG